TTATATTAAAAAGGATGCTTATAACCTGTATGTGGTTAGTCTTTTAACTTTCATATGCATTGTCAGCTTTTTCCTCTCATTGCTTTAAGGGCAAACGGTGCTGGGAGCCAATAATTATTCCTTTTACTCTTTCATCTTAACAGAGCGTTTAGGCCCTATGGACCTTGTTGTAGACTCCATAGTTAGGAGATTTGATTTTTTCCTGAATATCTAAACCATGCCCAATATACAAAGAAAAGTAATTACCTATTCTCATATAAAGTGTATTCAGTATATTACTGGTTAAAGTTTACCTTCTGTCTTTCAACTGGAAGACAAAATTTGTTGCAGATGAACTTAGATTATTAAGATCTAGGTGTTACTTTTTGGGTATTTTAGAGAGAATTTGATTCCTTTGAATTGAAAATATACTTTTCACTGCGTTGGAGAGAACACCCTGAAATGTCAAGAGGTTTAAATTTCTTCAGGACTAGTGATAACTCATTCTTGAAATCTTGATTCAAACCTGTGTGTCCTAACCTTCAAGTATTTGTATTCAATCTATTAACCTGGATTAAAAAGGAGACTTTAGAGTGTCACTTTAGATATCTGTTAATACAATGTTTATAACTCTTTAACTTAGTAGTTGTTATTTGAACAGCTTGATACTTTGTATGTTTAACAGCATCTAAATACTTTAAGCTTTAACTCATAAATAGTCTATTTTATGTGGGTAATTTGTAAAAATTCTATACTCACTGGTCCTTATATTATGGTGCAAACATCAAAAAATTCAAAACCAGAGAACTCTCCCTAACTACTTATGGGTTTGAGAAATTATATTATGAATTGACATTTTCCATTTTGGAAATTGAGAATTTTGTTACATGGGTTCAGATTTAGGGACATTATCAAAGGATCATTTAATGTTTCTGTTCATAATTTTACTTAGGTGGTTTTCGGGGGTTTAGATTAACAGGACTAATTTGCAAAGGTCAGCGCTGAAGCAGATTTGTTTTTGTTTGCTTTGCACATAAACACACATAAAATATATAAATATATTCACAGAAATACACACATATGTACACACACACACACTCATACATCACTGTAAGACAGCAAAATACACTTAGTGATTTTTTTTTTTTAGCTTTTATTTACTCACGAGAAGCATGATCTGCTTTCCTGAGAACACAACATAAACAAAGTCTAGCTCACAGTTACCTCATAATGATCTGCTCATCCTGCCCTTGGTTGTTGATCTATACTTATCAAATGCCTGTGTGTACAGGCAGTGCTTTCGAAGTAGTCTCTAAAAAAATCGACAGTGTATCCTTTTTAGTTCGATGGATAGGCTTGTTTTAAATTACTGTACTAAAGGTAGGGATAGAACATGGAGAGATTTTTATTTCAAAATTCCATTTTCTTTTCCTAACCCAAGATGATTAATTATCTAAGAACATTTCGTGAAATATAAAAGATACTAACCACAGAGGGTAGGTATGTTGGTCCATTAAACTCAGGCTTAACAACATATGTGACTTTATTTTTCTCTAAATAAACTCTTAAATAAGTTCTCTTCTGTGCCTCCATCTTAACAAATATGGAGAAATTAATCTCAATCAATTATAACCTCCTAAAAATGGCATCTGAATTCTGTAGGGCTTACAGAGTACAAAGATATGAGATGGGAGAGTTAGGGTTATTTTATCTTTACTGTCACCACTGAGATGTCGCCTTTCCCTACCCGATCACTGAGTACTGGTTCATATGTCTCTGCAGTATCCATCCTTGTTTCTACTTCAGAGTCTTTTCAAAGCCTGTCTTTCTGAGCACTGTGTGCACACCTCCTCTAGACTCTTGCACGCGTGGAATCTCCTGCTACTTCCCTGACCTCTACTCACGAATGAAGATATTTCATAGCTGTTCATCCCTAAATCTCCTTCTGGGCTCTGTCATTTCGTACCCTTCCTTGGGAACCCTCTTTCCCCCCCTGTTTATGGTACTCTTGCTCCACCTCAGAATATCTTTCCTAACGCCTGGCTGGTTAGAGAGCATGGAAGATTTGCTCTTAGTTATCATACTGTCAATCTCTTTTTCTTATCCCAGGGTCAGGGTTTTGTTCTTTTTTCATTGTGACCCGGTATGCCATTGCTTCTCCAAAGTAGTAAACATGGAATGTTCTTCCTGCTGGGATTGGGGGAGTTTTTCAAACGTGAAGAAATGTGAGAGTGGGGTGAGGATATTTATTTTATGTTGAAAAATACTATCCCACCACACTTCTAAATATTGTGAATCTTCCAAATGCTTCAGTGCATTCTTAATTGGAATACTATTTTTTAGCAAATGTAAGATATGGAAGCTCTTGTTACGATCTCCATTTAGAAATTCAAGGTTCAGATTTAATGTTTCATAGATATGTATTTGGTATTTTTACCACTTTCTTTGGGAAACAGGACAGCTGGGAGGGGGAGGAAAGAGAATTCTTTAAAAAAAATTTTTTTTCACTATGGGAAATTCCAAACATACACAAAATTAGAAAACAATAGTGTAATGATTCTCCATGTACCTGTCATTCAGCTTCAACAATAATCAACTCATAACTAGTCTTTGCATCTGTAACCTTTTCCTCACCCCGTCTCTGCCACTGGACTACTTTTAAGTTTACCCCATGTTGATGATGGATAAGTAAGTGTCCTACTACTCCGGTGTCATTACTTAGTCCACGATGCAAAACTCCATTCATTCACTTAATACTTCTGGAATGTTTATTCTGTAACAGGTGCACAGCCTAGGCCCAGCATATATAGAACACCTTGTAAACTCTTGGAAAAACTCCTATTAGGTACTAGTTAGTTACACAAAGGGATGATTTCTCACTTCTCTTTACATTTTCCCCATATCTTTCCATCACATTACGTTAGCTTTATTAAAAAAATATTTTTCCATAAAAAATCTTCTGCTCTTCCCTCCCCTGCCCCATCTGCCTCCTGATTCATCTTCCACTCTCAACCGGCCTCACCCCACCCGACTGCACTGCCTCTTGATATGACTGAAACATTTCTCTGAATGTTCCCACATCACAGTCTTTGTACTTGATACTTGTTTTGTAACACTTTCCCCTCAGCTATATGCATGTCCTGTTCCCTCTCCCCTTTACAATCTTCTCAGCCCTCAACTGCTTGCCAGTCTGTTCTGACCTCTAGATATTCGTCCTTAGCTGCTTTCTTGACAACTATTTAGGGAATGAGGTTTTGAGGGATCCTCTTTCTCTGTTCTGTATATAAATTTCATTTATTAAATTTATTAATTAAAAAGATTATAAATGGTTGGGGAACAGCTCAGCCTTTCGTACACATAAATTTACTTACCAGTTTTGCAGTATACACCAAAATTATTTAAGAGGATGCTTAAATATTCATTAGGTAATTATAATATTATTTTCTTTATGATATCATTCAGAATCATAAGAAATTAGGTGTTACGCTTTGGTGATCACTTGTGTTTTGTGCCAGATGGCAGCATGCCCCTCAGCTGTAGAACTATGATTTTGAAGAACTAGTAGCTGAGTTTTAACCACTGCAAATCTTATATTTTCATATTGCTTATCTTGCTGTATTGAGTAACTGACTGGCTTAGGTACCTTTTCTCCCCTCCCAACTAGTGGGGATAAGGTTTTTGTGAGTATATTCTCTTTAAAATCTTCCCCTTGCTTCTGCTTTGTCTACTTCACTCATATGTGTTTCACTAAGATTTAGTTCTTCTAAGTACCTTGTCCTGGCAAGAGGGCTGTGAGATAAGCGTTCTCAGTCACTACTGATGGAAGTGTGTAACTCTTTCTGGGAATATGCATTAAGAAATTTTGATATGTTCGTATCCTCTGATTTTTGATTTTTTGGTAATGTAGCCTAGGGGAAATGCACGTGCCTGTACTCATAGCTCTGGGTGGTAAAAATTCTGAGATTCTTTTCTTTTTCTTATTTATTTCTATTTCTTCAGGTTTCTTTAATACTCATCTACTTTACTTCCTCTTTTGTTCTCTTTTTTTCTTTCTTTTCTCTCTTTCCCCTCAGTACTTCATTGCTTCATTCCTCTTAGCATTAAAATGTATATGGAGGCTGAAATGGGAAATCTCTATCTTCTGCTCAGTTTTGTTGTGGATCTAAAGTTCTTCTAAAAAATAAAGTATTTTATAATAAAAATAAGCATTGGACTTTAAATAGAAGAGACTAAGTTTTTTGGGGGATGGTGTTCAGTTTATAGTAGAATCTCAATAAATATCTGTTGAATCATTCTATTGCTTTGACTAAGCAAAGTTCCTCTTTGTATGAGAAAGCAGGTTTTTGTGTTTTTTAATTTTATTTTTAAATTGAAGTTCTTTGTGTTTTTAAGCCTGTATCCTGCCACTTAAGAATCAGGGAAACTAATGAAGTATACTTTTAAAAAAAAAAAGAAGAAGAAGAAGAAAGAAAAAGAAACATTTCTTTGGATAAATGAATATTTGGATAAAAGTGTTTTTAAATAAATGCATTTTAATGCCTCCATTTATATGAAACTATTAAACAGACTCTTAAGGAATGTTACTGTTTGATATTTGTTTTTAAAACCTCTTCTCAAATGATAAGGAACCACATCAAATTAATTTCTTTTTAACTGGAGCTAATTGAAATGTCCTCGATCCTGAAGGCTAGGAGTTACACTGGTGCACAGGTAATGAAATTGTCACTGCTCCATAAAGTACTTGTGCTGTTAAGATGCAGTTGGTTGTTTCTTTCAGACGGTGATATATATAATGACTGAATTCCCTCAGGTGTTTTTTAAAGTGTAATCTTAATTGGAGATTTTTCTTATTCCTAAGAAATTCAGTGTTTCCTGTTCATTAATTATTTGAATTATTTTTGTGCATTAAATGTCATATTTTATCTTTTAAATTACCACAGTGTCCAGAATGGTTATGCCCACCTTCATCTTTCTCACCACATGGATTCTAGTTGTTTAAATATGTTTCCTTTCTCCCGCAGTGGTTCCCCCTGGAAGCCCTGGGCCCATTACTCGGCATGGGTCCTATGACAGTTTAGCATCTGACCACAGTGGACAGGAGGATGAAGAATGGCTGTCTCAGGTAAAAGTCAGAAACTTTTGGTCTATTAAATAATGTGCAAGAAAACAGAAATCCATTGTCTGTTTTTATTCTTGAATTGGAGAAAATGCCAGAATTGGGATCTTTTTAGGATCACTAAGAATTAATCAGTTGTCTTTCCATATTAAGAATTTCTCATCAATACTGCTGCAGGGATATGTGTACATAGACTTTATGCACACACAGATGTCTATATGTGTGTGTACATTAGCTTTCACACAAAGAGCGTAAAATATGCATTTTTTTCAAACAGTCCATTTATATCCCCTGAGACCTTGGATTTCAGATGAACTGTTTGGATTAAAATAAAAATTGGCCTTTTTAAAACAGTCAAGCCATTCAACAACCTTTGGGATTTGTTTTGTGGAGCCAACATTTCCTGAAGATTGGGCCCATACCTTGATTGGGGAAGTTCTGCACAAGTCCTGGCTGTGCCTGCCTGGCTTTCCTTCCCTAAACTCCTGCAATGCCGCTTCCAGGGGTCTCCACCCAGTCCTGTAACAGCTTCAGCTGACCCTGCCTCCCCTTGCCAGGTGAGGCTGTCTTCAACTCCAGGGCTTTGAAATAAAAGATACTTGGGGAGATTTCAGAATGCTGAGATTACAAGTGACTTCATTACAAATGCTGTTATGTCTGTCTCATGTCATGACATCACTGGGTGAAGTTAATGACCTGTCTCAGATTACCAATCCTGCAGCTTTTCATCAGACAGGTGCCTCGGTGCAGGCTGGGTACAGCTTCGTTGCTTTCTCAGGGAGGGGAGTCTGAAAACCACAGGGAATCTGGAAACTGAGGAATCAGATTGTTTCATCTCAGTGAAAATACAGGCAGCTCCTTGAAGGATGCTGGATGCATATGGAGACATACTTTCTTGAGGATAGATACCACGATAAAGTTAAAAAAAAAAACTGGCAAAGAAACCACTGTCCTTCACTTCAACTTTTCAATTAGAAAAAGGGGTAATGTGTGCTGTCAGTGTGAAAGTATATACAATATGTTTGTACCACATACAACAGGGGAGTGAGCAGGAACATCTGGCCATCGCCTCGGTGAAATTGCACGGGCATCTGTTTACCTCTCGGCTCTGTGACACTGATGGTTTTGAGCTTAAAATACACAGAATGCTCTATCTGTGGCCTCATTTACATTGCTGAATACAACTACTTGAATGAGAAATCACTGTCCTAAATCTGAGTAGTTTTCTCCCCGTGATTAGTGGGAATGTGAATATTGTTCCAAGACCATGATGCTTTTGCCCTTTAGGACTTACAAACACAGAGCTGCACTCCATGAACCTTTTCAGTTATGTTTTGTTAAGAATTAATCACTGCAATCAGAGAAATGTAATTAAATATAAAAGAACTCAGGGCAAAAATAAGGCACGTGGGAAGTCAATTCCATAAAGTGGATGTAGCAATTACAAGACACTGTGAAATACTGTTTCACCAAAGGTTTGCCTATTTAGTCTCTTATGCAAGTTGCTCATTTGTAAAATCACATAATATGTTTATTTTCAGGTTTTACCCAGGGTCCTACTCTCTGCTTCCTCTTTAAGATGTTCAATATAATATTGGCAACATTCCCTGCCCCCTCCATGGAGCATGAAATTCATACCACATTTTGATATTACTGTTTTGCAGCATTTAAAATCCCTATGTCAATGTTCATGGTAGTTGAGAAAATACTCTAATTAAGTAATAGTATTTTGAAAGCAAATCTAGTTTGAGAGAAAATATGTACTACTCTCTTCATTTAAAAGTGAATTTGGGGGGATTTTGAGGACAGTATAGTAAATGTTATGATATTTCAAAGTGGAAAGAAACTGGCTTTAGGTGTTGAAAATTATTTCAGACCTTTTCTTTTCCTTGGATAGTTCAAGAACAACTTCACGTTTGTCATGAGCTTGGTCCTCAGTAAAGGAATTACTTTTAATCTGTGGATTGATAGGTTTAGTGTTCAGTACACGTCCACAAAGTGGTAGGTACTGTCTAGAATGAATCCCTAGGTAGTCCCTAGGGAGCTGACACCAGTTAAATGAGGCAGGCAATTGTTCCTTTTATTGTCATGTGATTCTGTGTGTGTGTTTGTGTGTGCGCATGTGTGTACACACAAAGTGAATTTTTGGTTTGGTTTGGTGAAAACCAGTGGAGGGATGTAGTGAGTGTCTCTGTGGGCTGTCATTCTCATTTCCATTTGATTGTGGATGCCCTGTCCCTCTCCCACTTGGTTAAGATGGGCTTCTTGGAGAATGTGAGTGTTCAGAGATGGGATGGGAGAATCATGAAAGGCTCTCAAAGGGCGGTTGTAATACATTTAAGTCCTGATTCCTAATCTGTTCCAGGTAGAAATTGTAACGCACACCGGACCCCACAGACGTCTATGGATGGGTCCACAGTTCCAGTTCAAAACCATCCATCCCTCAGGCCAAACCACAGTCATATCATCCAGTTCATCTGTGCTGCAGTCTCATGGTCCAAGTGATGCTCCACAGCCCCTTTCAGATTTTGATACGGATGATCTTGATCTCAACAGTCTCAGGTAAGAAATACGAAATAGAAAGTGATTTGACCAGATTAATATGTCCGTTTGTAATGAGCTTCTGTCTGTCTGTCTGTCTATTCCATCATGTATATTCTCTAATCCTGACTTGTAAGAATCATAATACAAGGTTTACAAATGCTTTTTATTATTAGTTTTTAAAAAATGTAATAGAGAACTTTTTTGACTTTTGTAGTCTCAGGTTTGCTAAACTGCAAAGTTTAGTTTGTTACATCCAGACTTGACACGTTAGGGAACAGACAAGGAAGGGCTCAGTCTAATGCATTGTGTAATTTCCCTTTCCTTGTTTTCTTTCAAAAAAAGTTCCACGGTGTATCTTTATTTGAATCTACAATAGCCCTCGGACTTTTTTCTTGCATCTCTTTTTTAAAAATTGTGGAAAAATGTGTCCCAGTCATATGTCGGAAATAAGTTTTTATTCTACCTCTTTGTCAACACTAATAACAAATCTTTATAACAAAATAAAAGCTGTTGCTGAGGTGGGTTTTGCCCCAATGTTTCTTCTTTTAAGAACAACTCATATAATGAAACATATCTCCTTTAGTACCTTTTTAAGAATTTTAATTTTTTGTTTAGGTTGGTTTGTATTTTATTTCTTCTGCAACTTTTTGCTTTATATTTGTCCAGTGTATTTTCTTCAGCTTTCTAGAATCAATCCTCAGCTTAGTGATTCAATATATACTCGTCTGTGTTTATTGGTCATTCTGTTACTTAAATGTTAATAATAAGGCACTTAAAATAAACGACCTATAAAACTATGTTTATTCCCTTTACTAAACTATTTACAAGGTTGCCCCCTTCCCCTTTTTTTCTGATGACTGTCACCCGCTGCTGTAAGACCCTGTCCCTTTTTTAGAGGGGACATGTCCAGCTCCTGCATTTGCAGCTCTGTTCTTTTGTTTTTCACTTCCTTTAGCGTCTTACTTAGCCCCTTCTTCAGACATAGTTCTTCATATAAGAACTCTCTTACTTGCTTCTTCAGATAGAGCTGCATCCTGAAATCCTTCCAGAATTTTCCTCAGAGACTTTGCTTTTTCTTATACTAAAGAGCCCCAGTATTTATCTAAATGATTTTAAATTGTTTATGTTTGTTTAGAATATTGTCCTGTTTGGTGGACACATATAAACTTTAGGAACCTTTATATTAGGCTGAGGTTTAGAAATTTCTTTTGATTGCATTTGTAGTTTATATTTAAGATTTTGAGCATATAGGCCCTTGACTAAGACCTTAGCCCCATTAGAACACAGTTTTGATGGAAAATTCAGATTTGACTCACATCATTTCCATTATGTGTCCTGTTTATTACCATTTCCTGCCCAGCATCCAATTACAAATCCCACTATTTATACTCTCCTCATTCCTGTTCACTGTCGCTTTATCCCAGGTTCTCACCTCTGGTTCTTCGATGTTTCTTTAGGCTTATGTGCAGTGGCACTATAACAGTTGGCCTTACTTTCTTCTTTAAATTGTGAAGCCTTGTTTAGATTTTCTTGGCTCAACTGACCCTTTACACCTGGTACCTTGTCCTGTATCCTGTATCACTAAGAATTATGTGGTGCTGTGATGGTCTGCCTTCCGGCACCCTAACAAAAGTGGGGAGCAGCCAGGCGTATTGTTGACTGTCATATCCATAAGGGAATCAGGCGTGGCTAACCTCAAAGCAGCTCCTTAATACTCTAGACTAGGGATTTAGCATGTAAAAAAGGCCAAAGAAATATTGATTATTAGACCTGAGTAACAAATAATGTAAAAGAAAACTGAGATATAAGATCTAGTTTTCCATTCAAGTTTAGCTCCTGAGAAATCAGTTTGATTTTATTTCATTCATTTTTTTTTTAATTTTAGTTTTCCATCGAGTTAATTAACATATCCATCAGCTGACATACTTTTTATATATGTGTGTTGTGATTTTTTTCTTTTGGTGAGAACATTTAATTTCTACTCTTTTAGCAAATTTTAATTGTACAATAAAGTGTTCTCACCCATAGTTACCATGTTATACATTGGATCTCACACTTTTTATTTTATTTTTATTGATACATAATTTACATAATGTAAAATTCACTATACAGTTAAGTGGTTTTAGTGTATTCACTACGTTGGGCAACATCCCCTCTAATTCTAGAACATTTGCATCACCTCTACCAGTTTGTTTTTATTTTTGTCTTATTTTCTATTATGGAAAAATTTCAAACATAGCTAAACACATGCAAGGTTAAAGTGAATAATAGAACAAACTGTGTCTTCAACACATCAATTCATGGCCAGTCTTCCTTCATCTATAGCCTCATCCACACCCCACCCAAAACTCTGGATGATTTGGAAACTCTAATACTATAAATTGAATTAATAAATTTATTAGCCCAGCTAAGTTGTTTAGACTGGGAGGGAGCTTTACAGTGCACGAACTTGACCACATCTAACAGATTAGCTTCTTGTTTCTCTTAAGACCCAGAAAATTGTTCCTCTTTTCTCATTGGCCTAAATCTGCTTAGGCCTGCCCGTCCCAGAGCTAATTAATCTCCACCGTGATGGGAGATGATGGGATTACCATGGCTGGAGTAGGAAAACCCGGCAGAACCAATGTTGGGTGGTAGACCACATCTCCCGCCATTGCAGTGATCATTATCTGTATAGCAGTGTCTCCAACTTCCGGTTCTGGAGCATATGCATCATTTTTCACCTCCCTCCCATTTCTTTCTTTGACACAATGTATACACATACTTGTACTGCACTTTCGATAACTGCTCTTTTCCTGTGGTCCATACTTGGCCTGTCAGGCTTCTGTGATCTATCCTATGGTGGTTACCAACTTCTTATCTTCCAACAATATCCACTAGGAGCTCAAGGCTTTAGCCAAATTGTGCTCCTCAAGACGCCCTGCATTTCTCATGCTTGGTTACAAATCTAAGGGTTCTCTTGTTCCAGTTCTGTGTTTAAAGGGCACTTCTTGCTCTTTGGGATCTTTTATATATCCTGTTATTGTATACACGTCTAGTTTCTGCTACAGCTCCACAGGATCTTCTTGATTTGCTGTGTACCGTGCATTCATCCCCCCATTTCCTCATTCTGATCTTCTATTACCTATTTCGTTCATTTTCACATGTCAGTTTTCTTTTGCATCAGTTCAGAATGTCCATACCATATATCTCCACATAGAGCTTGTATTTTGTGTTTTGTTTCTGCTTCTTCCTAGAGTAACTGACACATGATTAATATTCAGCAAATACTTACTGAATGAATGAATGACAAAAATGCATGCTTATATTATAACAAATCCTTATCCCTCCAAGTTGCCTGAGTCTCTCAGATCTTTTAGCCATACAGGTATTTTTATGTGGTTAGGATTAATCTAATACAGCTGGAGATATATATACTCTGGGCATTTATAGGTTTACCATTCTCAAGCAACTTGAAATTGTATGTAGTGAATTGCAGTTTTGCTGAGACTATAATTGATTCTTACATGCTAATTGGGAACTTTTTTGCAGGGAACTCATTTGGACAGCAGTGATCCTAGCTAAATCCCTGGCAGCCGAATCCCAGCACCGTTTTGTTATCCTGTTCTTATTTTCACATATAAAGTAACTTTCATTAAGTACTTTTAAGGGAGTGACTCAAAATTTTGTATCTAGTATTGCTGTCTTTTAGGGAAAGCATTACTGGATATGATTCTTTCATGAAGTTAAAGATTGTCAAAACTCTGCATATCTGTCCCCTGCAAATGCCAAAGGATTCAGTGTAAAGTGTTTTGTTTCCTCTCCCATTTCACTTAATTTATCTCTTTAAGTTAATGTCAGGTTTTCAACCCCTTGCGTACAGTCCATTAAAAAACATACAAAGAAAAGAAGGAGCCCAGAGTGTAGAGAACATCGTGCTTTAGCCTCGTGCATGAATCAGGGACTGCAGCTCCCCCGTTTGCCTTGTTTTAGAATGAATGGTTCTTTAATGGATTGGGCAATTCCAGCATTCCTGATTTAAGATCTGTTGTAGCAAGCGACAGTTTGGATGCCAGGAACATATGTGAATTAAATTAAATTGCATTGCAGGATCCAGCCGGTCCGCTCTGACCCAGTCAGCATGCCAGGGTCATCCCGTCCAGTCTCTGACCGAAGGGGAATTTCCACCGTGATTGATGCTGCCTCAGGTAGAAAACTACCTCCAGAATGTTTACTGGGTAGTTCTGTGCATTTTTAAATTTCTTTTCTTGCACAGTGTAGAGAATGCTATTTTTTTCTTGCCTTCCTCTTTCTCTTTTCGGGGCTGTGGGGGGTTTTGTGTGTGTGGATGAGTACACACGTGTGTGTGAGACAACAATGTGTGCCTACATTTGCTGCTAAACAATGCCACGCATTTAAATACTGTTATGGTTGGTGAATGATGCGGTGGAGTTGGCACTTGATTAAATGTAATGAACACAGTATTGAAGGCTACAGGGTTGATGACTGTTTTGCCTTTGATCTCTCAAATGTGGAGAAGCAACCTTGACAGAGAACGTAAATACAATATATGGATTCAATTTACTCAACCTGTTGAGTATCAAAGTGCCTGATCTGTAGAAGCAGAGAGTCCAAATGCTATAGCTTAAATGGTTTTATTATTGAAAGCATAAAGTTTAGAAATTCATTAACTTAACTCTAGTCTATCTATCACAGTTATTAACTTCCTATCCTTGGAACCAAGCCACGAATTTGTATCATTGGTACTGGGAAGTAGACCTTTGCCTTTGTAGGTGATAGTTGCTACATTAGTATTATAAAACTGTTTTCTGCCAGGTCTGCCAGATAATAGAACTGTCTGTAATGATACGTTGTCTCATCTCTAAATGCAGCGATAAAGAAAACAAGAAAATAAGTGATGCTTTATATGCGGTGCAGCTGTGGAGCATCTGAAGCTCGCGTACAGCAGGGTTTCATCAAAAAAAGTCTCTTACAAGTAGAATTATTAAACACTAGGCATTAGTCAAACAGTTGAGTCAGAGAGGATTTTAATCTATAGCAATTTCAAAATCCCTCCAGACTGCTGATTTGATTGAGGCTTAAACTGTGAAAGAAAATGGAAGCAAACACCAAACTGATTTGTGAAGGTCACTTTTAAAAGACCAAAGCTTCTGTTTCTGATTCTGTCTCTGGATGTATTTTGAAGTTTGAAGGCTAATGGGGTTTGTACGTTTTCTTGGCTTTCTGAACTCTTTGTCAGTAGATTGTACCTGTCCACATCCAGGGCTGCACTTTCATTTTTAACGTAAACTCTTGCTTTAGAGGACTCATACTTGTGCCTCCACTTTAGCTTGGCAACCAGGGTTGTCCCCTGGAAACAAGCACAGAAATGTGTGAAGTCTGCAGCCTTGCACTGAATGAGATACTGAGACAGGTGACTTAAACAATACATCTTTTTGATACTTTTAACCTGAGAATGCTAATAGATCCTACTCATCTGGAATTATCATTTACAACTGGGGAATCCTGGAAGTGATGTATTTTAACCTGAAGCATTTTATTCAAGATCAATAGTAGGCTTTGTTGGGTTTTTTTTTAAACATTGTTAAACTGCGATATTATTAATGCTTTAGAGTCAAGCGACTAGCTACTGGTCAGGTGAAATGCATGTCATTAAATCAGTTACCACATGTTTTATTAAATTTGCCATATTCCATGCAGTCGTCTGAGCTAATATCCATGTTTATCATTAGCACTATTTAGTCTTAGCTCTTTGTAAAGTTATCTCAAGCCACAGAGAGGAACTTCAGTGAAATAGTGCAACCATAATGTTGTTTAACTCTGTTGCCAGAAGAGTTTTCAGCTGATGTTTGAGTAAGGAATTAGATCTTTGCCTTTGATTTACTTCTGTTTCCATCAGAGACTCATTGTAGGAGTTTCTAGGATGTGATTCCACAACTTCGAGCCTCGGCCTGACAGTACCTAACTTTTGAGTGGAGAAGGGCTTCTTGGTGACTAAGCTCTATAATTTTTCTAGACCTGTTTTCATTCCAGACAGCCACAGTTCCTTGCCAAAAGACAGCCAGGGCGGGGAGATGTGTGTGCTGATTTCTCTGATCTCAAGAACCCCCCTCGATGAGGAGTTAGACGTCTAGGAATTGGTCTCTACCTCTCAGATCATCTGGACCCCTTTTGTTGAATACATTTTTAAACTGGGTGAATAATGCTTTGTTGGGGAACCTTCATCTACTTTCTCTAATAGGATCTCTGTTGTCATGGACTTCTGTTGATTTAACAAGGTAGAGGTTCAATGGCTTGAGTTCTTGATGAAAGGAAGTTTATGGGAAAATTCTGCTTTAGGTTCTTCTATTAAAAACAGCCTAATGAATTTTTATGATCTCTCCTGAACCGGGAAGTGCGTCTCTGATTATGACCCATGCATTCGAGTCAGCTGCATGTTACGAAGATGCTAATCTGGAATTCTGATTGCCTTTGCTTAGAGGGATATGACCAGGGTGGTGCCTCCTCTTACCAGGGTTCATTGCTTTGTCTTACCTTCAAGCAGTTTAGACCATGAACATGCTGGCTTTTTAATCATTCCTATGGCATATTTTATAGCTCTCCCTCTGTTTCAGTGACACCTCTTACTCTGTCTAAACTAGTGGTGTTAAAGTTACTTTTCATATAATTACTTTTCAAAGGCAAAGAATTTGAACATTTTAATGTGATAAGAATTAAATCTTTTGATGGCTGTGGCAATTTTCAGAGTGAAATTATTATTGAAGCCTTGGGTCTGCGTGTGTGTTTAGATCCCTGTATATGAATCTGGCAGCATGAGTCTGTTGAAATTGTAAGAGGCCAGCAGAGCACTGTGCCACTCCTGCTAGGAAATTTGTTTTTCCTCACAGTTTCTTGATCATCTAGTATATCTGTGCTTCACTCCTTTGTATAGAACCTTGTTTCCTAAAATACATGTTTTTCACTTATTAACTCTGATGATTTTAGGCACAGTGTAGATTCTGTGCCTTTAGATAACATATGAACCAGGTTCTTGCTATCTCTAAATAAATATGTATGTTTTAGACTCAGCAGATACATAGCTGCTTCATAAGCAGGTTAATCCCATAACATGTTTCATCTGGTCTTCGGTGATTCAGAAGACACTATCCTACCTAAGATTTTGAGTGTAGATAATTGTAAGACCTTCTCTTCTTGACTAAGGAGAAGACCATTCTGGAAATGGACTTTATAGGATTTACCTTTACGACCAGGCTACTCAGAACAAATGGAATTTGAGGGAACGCCTCCATTTCTCCTGTACCCAGCTGATGAACAGCAGTGTCTGAATCACACGCAGTATTTCTAGACAAAAAGCACTGCATGGATTACTTACCTTTTCTTCTTTCTCTCTCTCTACATCCCTTTCGATTGGGTATCAATAATTTCTGCTGTTTGTCTTTTATAACATGTGTCCTACTTTTGACAAAGGCGTATGACCTGAAGAGAAAATAGAATATAATTGTCAGTGTCCTGTTCAAACTTCTGTTTCCCACATTGGTGACTGAAGTTCTTATTCCGAGACTTGCAGGCTGTACTTGCTGGATAACTTAATAACAACTCTGATTGCTTTTGAGTCATACACACAGAGAGCCTAGAAAGATCTGGTTCCTCCTAAGTTTGTTTGTCCTAGTTTGTACTTTTACCAGGGAAACTGATGTTTACCAAGGAAGAACTCAAGGCAGCTAAGATTTAAAGACAAACTTCTGCCTGGCTTGTGTGGCGAGCAGACATCTTTGTCAGACTCTACTGAAGTAAAACTTTTATACAGAAAATATTATTAGAAGTGGTGACAGAAGCATTTAAGTCATTCCTGAGGAAGATGACAGTAGGAGAAGGAATATTGTGACAGATAAGTAAAAATCCTTTAGAGCAGACTATGATCCACGTGGTAATAGTGCTTATTCAAACATTTCGATAAATGATGACAAAGCTGCAGACGTAGTATTTGTTGTTATTCTTTCCTTTTAAAAAATTTATTTTTAATTAATTTTTATTTTTAATTAAAAAAAAATTCCCCCTTAACGGAGGCACTGGGGATTGAACCCAGGACTTCATGTATGCCAAGCACGTGCTCTGCCACTGAGCTCTATTCCCTACCCCCCGTTATTCTTTGACTCAAGAGTCGTCTAAATGATTTCTAGGAATTAATTAATTCAGGCTTTCAGCACCTACTTCTTCTGAATACAAAATAATTTATTTGCTTGACGTAAATCCACACTGGTTTGATTTGATTGATTTTATAATGATCATTTGTGCCTGCTTCGTGTATTTGGCATTTGGTGCAGTAGACTTTTTAAAAAAACAAATAATATTATTAGCAAAGCGCGACTGGGTAGGCAACAGGGATATTATTCGAGCAGTCATATCTCTGTCGGAGGGTCATTCTTATCGAGGCATGCTTTTTTCTTGCAGAGATTTTTCTGATGCGCTGGGGGAAGCGTGTTCCTAAGGATTATGTTGCACTGTGTCCACGGTTGCCATTCCAGGCAGACAGACTTAGTCACTGTATCTTAAAGCCGTCAGAGGCACAAGAGATACTGGTGGTAAGAGGCAAAGAGATCTGTAAGAAACACCATTTGGTCTGCCATGGTTAGGCCACTTAGCTCCATGGTTTAAAACCTGGAACTGAGTGTCGGAAGCCATGACGTTGTAATCATGGTTTTGATCTTTTACTGAAACCCTCAGCAAGTTATGTTTCCTTCTTATCCATTCTTCTCTGCATCAGTAAAAAGAATTTCAGTTACCCCGCAAAGGTCTGGTTCACCTTTTTCGGCAGGGATGTGTTCAAATTATTACCTAAAATAATTCCCAGATATAAAGTTCTTTTCAAATATTGAGATATTTCTTTGAATATATGATCTGGTTTTCATTTAATAGAGTTCCAGCTATTCTTTGTGATTATAAGGTGACGAAAACTCTAGGCAGACTTGTACCTTGGGTATTCAAAGCCTATGTGGGATCAGTAAGAGGATTATGGATGAGGGTGAATTAAAAGAAGGCTTAGTCCTGACCTGTGAACAGTCCCTCAGAGGGGAAAAAGGAGGTCAGTAATTTTACTTTGACACTATTTATACTTGAAACAGTAAACATTCAAACTAAGATATTAAGATTGGCTTTTTAATTAGAAATGAGGAAGTTGGTACATTAT